AAAAAAAAAAAAGATAACAGCCAGAGATGGTGGCAAATGCTTAGAAAGCTTGCTTAAACCCATGAGTTTGAAATCAGCTTGTGCGCAGACCCATATATATGTTTTTATTCCAGTTTTTTAAAAAGTGGGGGAAACTTGAGAATTTTCTATACCCTTGGATCAGAAAATGTTGGACAGGGGAGTATCAGTTTGTTTTTGTTGTTTTTTTGTTTTGTTTTGTTTTATTCTTTTTTTGAGATAGAGTCCTGCCACTGTGTCTAGCTTTGAACTCACTATGTAGCATAGGCTGGCCTCAAACTCTCAGTGATCCTCTTGCCGCAGCCTCCCAAGTGCTAGGATAACAGGCATGCACCAACATGCCTGGCTGGGAGTATCAGTCTTTTTAAAAAGTTTCCACCAGGTAATGCTAGTGTACCTGCCCTCAGTTTTAGTAAAACCTCAGTTTTAGATTCCAGCTCAGTAATAGCATCTCTCACTCCCAGCTAACTTTTATATATCCTCTGACTGTCTAGGGTATCCTCTTTGTGCATAATTCTTCTTGGGCCATGGCTACCAGTTGGCAAGGACAGAAATTGAACTCATATCTCACTGAGTCCCATGCTTTGCCTCTCCATCCTTCTACCTGTCCCCTCTGCAGCAATGGGGGAAGCTAGAATTCTGCTTTTCCCAGGTGGACAGTGGATCTGGTGAGGCAGGCCTGCCTATGGGTAGATGTGTTGTTCCCTTGCTCAGGTATGTGCTCATCTCTGATCCTTTTCCCCTAAAGACTTTCACGGGGACATGTGCTACAACTTAGATCTGTAGAGTTGGGTATCCAGAAGAGCTGTGTGCTAGAACCCTATCTCCTCAGTATGGCCCTCACAAGTGGCTGGGGCTTTTGATTACCCAATTTCATTGCTGGACCTTTATGTGACATGAAGTGAACAGGTGTATTGATGAAATATGCCAAAGGGAAGTTCCACCAGACAGAATATTGGATCAGATCAGCTGGAGTGTCTTAAATCACCAAATATCTGGATTCCAAGTGAGAATTTGCAAAGGAAACTTTGAGATTTGTTGCTGTGAGCCTGAAGAATAGACAGAGTGAGTTTGTTTTGTTTTGTTTTTTAAGTCCTGGGAGATTGAACTCAGGGCCAGCTACATTCTGGCCCTTTTAATTTTAATTTTTTATTGCCCAGGTTGTTCTCAAACTGGTGAGTCTCCTTTCTCAGCCTCCCAGAATGCTGAGATTATAGACACGTACCACCATACCAGCTGAGAGAATTTGTATTGTATGTCCTGTAGGACCTGGCATTTTCCCCTTAAACTTAAGTCCCACTTTGGGCCTGGGATTTAGCTCAGTGGTTTTGCCGCCTGCCTTGCAAGCTTGCAAGTGCAAAGGCCCAAATTCAATCCCCCCTGCAAAAAAGTTAAGTTCCTCTTTAAGGCTTATTAGGATGACCATATGACCTCAGGCCAAGTCTGCTTCTTGAGTTGGACTGGAGACCAGTTATGTACGGTGGAGAAAGCTCTGTCTTGCTCATGAACTATTCTCCTGCATCTGAGAGAAACGTCTCTTCTCTTGGTTCTGGCAGCTGGCTCTCTGCTGCTCCTGACTGTGTAGACTCAAGATTGGCAACACTTGCCTGGGTATCCCCTTTGCTTTGCTGGACAGAGGTCCATTTCTTAGAAGAGGGCTCTTGAGATCAACTTGCCTGGCCTGAAGTTTTTGATGTGAGAAAATGATAGCAATGGCATAGGCATTCAGTGTCATCTACCCCACCCCTCTCTTTTGTGGTACTGAAATTGAACCCAGGCCTGCTCTACCACTGAGATACATTCCCAGGCCTTCTTCTTTTTTTTTTTTTTTTTTTTTTTTTTTTTTTTTTTTTTTTCATTTTTTTTTTTTTTTTAATTTATTTATTTTGGTACCAGGGGTTGAACTCAGGACCTTGCACTTATGAGGCAGGTGGCAAAAGCACTGAGCCAAATTCCTGGCCTTTCTTATTTTAGTTTTTTATTGCAAAGCAGGATCTTACTAAGTTATGCAGACTGGCCTCAAACTTTTGTTCCTCTTGTCTTAGCCTCCCAAATAACTGGGATCACAGGTGTGTGCCAATATGCCTTGCTTACATCTCTCTTGATCTCTGATTCTTCTGTGCTCTGATCTTACTATCTCCCTAACACTTTCTTGTATGACTTCCTGGTCTTTCTTTGAAATCTTTTTCAATTGCTATGGAATAAGAACTTTTTAATTTTGGGGGAAAAATTAGGGCGGGGGCATAGTGGGGATTGAATCCAGAGCTTTCTGCATGTTAGGCAAGTGCTCTATCATGAAACTACATCCCCAACCTTTTTTTATTTTATTTTGAGATAGGGTCTCACTGTTGCCTGGGTTGGCCTCCAACTTGCAGTCCTTTTGTGTTAGTCTCTCATGTAGCTGGGGCTACAGTACAGGCATGTGCCACCATGCCCTGCCAAATATGTTGTCTTTTCTTTTAGCAGTATTACTTATCTGACTTCCCTATAGAGAGTGGTACATAAATACAGGACTCAGGCCCTGAAAGGACTTCCTGCTATCCCACTCCTTAGGCCCTAGGACAATACTCTGGGAACATTCCCTTTCTTTCCCCTAGGAAAGAAGCTGTCAGTCATGTGTTTTTAATCAGTGGTAGGCCTCAGAATCTCACTGAAGATGGAGCTTTTTGGAAATACACATTTCTAACCCCTATAGACTCATTTAGCAAATAATAAGGTAGAACCTAAGAGTCTGTGTGTTTCTTAAGCTTTCCAGGTAATTCTGTCTGATGTTTGCTCTAGCAAAGGATCACTGTTTTTCCCCACAGGAATACATGCAGATCTATTCATTCATTCTTTCAGTTTGTGTGTGTGTGTGTGTGTGTGTGTGTGTGTGTGAGAGAGAGAGAGAGAGAGAGAGAGAGAGAGAGAGAGAGAGAGAGATCTGCCCATCTGTCTGTCTATCTATAGATATCTATCTATCCCACTGGGTGCCAGGCAGGGAATCACTGGTATTAGGTCTCCAGTGTAGAACAGAGGCAGACTTCCTGCCTCATGGAGTGTACACATATTTGCATGTACCAGATGCCCATATGTACTCTTGCATGCACCAGTTGTCCATTCCATGGACAGCACAGTCTGTAGCAGAGTTAATTAGTACAATTGGTATAGTGGTTTGTTTCAGAACAGGTAGGTGCTCTTGTGTGCTCCTCTTTATAGATCCTCAGCACGCTTGTCAGAGGGACGCGCAGACCTGTGACCTGCAAGATTCGCATCCTACCATCGGTAAGGATGGGGTGTTACATTTAAAAGCCCATTCTCTCAGGTGATGTTGCACTTGGGGTGTAATTCATGAGGTGCTGAATTAGCTTTGGTAGGGTGGGGTGAAGTTGAGTCCACCTTAAGCCAGCAGCTGCTCCCCTGGGACCTCAGTAACCATACTGTAAATCTTCTTCCTCAGCTAGAAGATACCCTGAGTCTTGTAAAGAGGATAGAGAGGACTGGCATTGCTGCCATTGCAGTTCATGGGAGGTGAGTGGTCACTTTTCTAGTGATTGGAGAGAGATTCCTCAGCCATCTTGATCTTCACCAAACACGAGACAACAACCAGTTTCTCTCCCATGTATTTAGCCTACTTGTACCTAGCTAGTTCTTTGACATCCTCTGACTCAAAGGGGTACTGAGTGGGCCTGTCTTTTTTTGTAGCATTCATTGAGTACTTACTGTGTTAGGCCCTGCTCTGGACTTCATTTTTTAATTTTTTGGTGTTTTGTTTTATTTTGTTTTGAGACAGTGTCTTACTATGTAGTTAAGGCTGGCCTTGAACTCACTGTATAGCCCAGTCTGCTCTTGAACTTGCAGCAATCATCTTGCCTCAGCCTCCGGAGTGCGAGGATTACAGGCATGCGTCACCATGCCTGGCTTGTTCTGAAGTTTAGAGACACAAAAGGAAGGAGAAACGCCCTATGCACAGGATGTGGATGTGGTAGAGATGGAATGATTTGCTGAAAATTGTATCAGGCAGCCAGGAAGTGGTGGAATAAGAGCTCTGGCCCTGAATTTCATTTTCTTTTCACTTTATTGAGCAATGGCTTCTTCCTTGAATGACCCCAGGCCGATGGCTATCCTTTCAAAGGCACTGCCTCTTTTGCCTGTCCTTGTTGGATTACCAGTGGTTCCAGTGACTGTTTTAAACAGTCCTTGTGTCTGTAGCTAATGTGCTGTCTGCAGAGAGCTGAGGTATTTCTGAAGGCTGCCCTTGGTATCCCCATCAAATCTGTTCCCTGTGCCCAAGATGTCCTTTGGTACAGAATCCTGGTCAGTATACTTCAGCAGGTGCCTTTACTCTTTTGAGCCATGTTCCTTTTGGGCTGAGGAGTCTTGTAGGAGCAGCCCATTTTGCTGATTGTGCCTGTCACAGCATTTTCAGAGGACATCTAGAATTCCAATGTAGAAAACAGAAAAATAGGCTTCTCAAGTTGAACCCAGGAGGGGAAGGTAGAGCCATACATTTATGCATGTATTCTCCTTCCCGACGCAGCAGGCTTTGGACTCCAACTCTCTGGTTCAAATCCCAGCTCTGTAGTCTGTTAGCTGTGTACTCTCAGGAGAGTCAACCTCTCTGCATATCACTTTCCTCATTGGGAAATTAAGATACTAATAAAGGGTTGTTGTGAAGCTTGTATGAAATTGGGAATAAAAGCCTTAACACACTGCCTGACATAGTATTTTCTTCATAAAGGAAGCTGTTACTTTTGTCAGAAGGTGAAAGCACTGGGAAGTCAGGTTTGGGTGAGTTAATGAAGGACTTTCTGCCTGTTACAGCTGTTGAGAATAGGCTGCTGGAAATGTAGGAAGGTAGTGGTAGAACTGGGTTGGCAGGACCTTGTGAAGAGTCGAGGAATGTTGCAGAGGGAACACACTTAGATGAGACCTGTCAGTCCCCTTTCCTGCTTGTCTCTGAGCACAGCTCAGCTGAGGCCTCACTTCAGTGTCCCTAAGACTTGCTTTGTCATGCACAAGAGCTTCTTGCAGTTGACCTTGGAGGGGCCCCAGGTTGTGTCCTGCCTCCCCTGTGGCTTGTTGTCTGTTGCCTGCCCTAGCTGCTCTGGGAAGGGGGCCTAACCTGTGTCAAGGGCTTCACTTCAGGATCAGCTGTGCAACTTGGCCTCAGCATAAGCAGCTGTGTGGGAGTGGCCAGTCTGAGCAGTGGCAGCTGTTCCCAATCCCTTGGGGAGGGCAGGACTGGGGCAGCAGGGGCAGCATCCTGTTGGCGATGTCTGTCATCTCTGGCAGAGGCAAGGGGATGGCAAGGAAAAGCTACTTGACCTTGACAGCCAGGCCATCATACTGGCCCCCTACAGCATGCCTCACCTGCAGGCCTCTGAGAACTGGACTTGCTTCTCAGAATAAGCCTGTGTTGCTCCTGCCCCTCACAACAGAGTTGTTCCCCAGAGGTCAGCGGGGTTCATGCCCTGCAGTTTGACCCTGATGGCCATATGGCTGCCTGAGGTTCAATAGGGAGGCCTGTAAGGTTTGGCTAAGGTAATCTTTTATGAACAGTGACATAGCCTTCAGCACTCAGCCCTCTGCCCCATCTTTTCTTTATCACCAAGGAAACGTGAGGAACGGCCTCAGCACCCTGTCAGCTGTGAAGTCATCAAAGCCATTGCTGAAACCCTGTCTATTCCTGTCATAGCCAAGTGAGTGTTACTTCCTCCTCCTTTACTTTTTTATGCCCCATCTCATTCAGAAAGGACTTGAGCTGGCATATAAAAAATGGAATGAGAGAGCCTTTAAAAATGACCATAGGGGGAAAGGGCAAAAAGATAGGGTGAAAAATAAATTTGGAAATGAGGCTGACAAGTGCCTATCTTACATGTCAGGTTGCTTCACCTCTGGTGGGAAGTTGGTGTAGGTGTGCAGGGACACCTTGGAACACCCTGATGGATGGGCTGGGGTGAGGTTATTTAAGGCAGGGAGAGAAGGTAGCCACTGAAGCAGGCCCACAGCAAGGTGATGTCACACCCATAGTGTTAAGGCTCAGGGAACATAGGCAGGTCATAGCAGCCAGGCATGGTCACTCATGCTTGCAATTCCAGCACTCAGGAGGCTGAGGTAGGAAGATCACCAAAAGTTCGAGGTCAGCCTGAGCTAAATAGTTGAAGGCCAACTTACACTACATAGTGAGACAGACCCCTGTCTCAAAAAAAAGACAAGACAAAGTAAAAAGAAACCCAGACAAGCATGCTGCACAGCTGTAGGTCTGCAAATGTGAGACACTGAAGAGCAGCTCAAGGCTACTCTGTCCAGCTCAGAGCCTCAGAGTCTAGAAGGCTGGCACAGGGAAGCTCTGACAAAACACACACCTGACTGGTGAGAGGGAAGAGTTAAAGGTAGGTGATAGCCAGGCCCTGCATCACACAGGCAAGAAGTTCTAGAGGTGGTTCGGAGGGGCAGGGCTACTCAAGACCTGTTGCTTCTGCTGTCACCTGAGGGTCCCCCCACAACATGAGTATCTCTTTAACTGAGGCTGCCACTTGACTCCTAATAAAATAGATGAGGACAGAGCAGTTTCTGTAAAGGTCCTTAGAGCAACAAGGTAGAGGAAAGGGAATTATGACTAAACTGGGCCTCCTTCCTTCCCTCATCATTAACACTATGTCCCCTTCCCCTTCTTTAGAGATTTGACCCAGTCCTCAGATAGCATGTGGGTGACTCCTGAGCATGGGGTGTTTTCTGTAGCCCCAATGCCCTAGTTTTAGGCTCACATCTTCAGAAATAGTATTGACCACTGTTTCAGATGTGAAAGAAGGAAAGTAAAATTTCTGGAGTACCTATTTAGTTCCAGGCCTGACTCAGGCTATTTTTCATATATTATCTCAGTGCCCATAGCTTTGTAATGAGGAAAGCATTATAATTTCCTTTGATGAAGCTCTGATAGCTGAAGGACTTTGTAGGTTTTGTGATGCTCCCGTCATATCCCCTAACCTCCCTGTTGCTTTTCAGTGGAGGCTCTCACGATCACATCCAGCAGCATTCGGACATAGAGAACTTCCGACAAGCCACAGCTGCCTCTTCAGTGATGGTGGCCCGATCAGCCATGTGGAACCCATCTATCTTTCTCAGGGATGGGCTGCGTCCCCTGGAAGAGGTCATGCAGAAGTACATCAGATATGTACGTCTCTGCACTTTTTCAAAACCACCATTTCTTCCTATCTGCCATTCTCCTACAGAGAGCACTCTGTGGGGGCCTCCAATTGCCAGTGGCCTTTGTTGTTGCTCTCCTTTTCTTGCTTTCCTTTTATTTATTTTTGTTTGTTTGTTTTGTTTTGGTACCAGGGATCGAACTTGGGACCTTGTGCTTGCAAGGAAGGTGGTGGAACCACTGGGCTAAATCCCCAGCCTTGTTTGTTTGGTTTTTGGTACTGGGGCTCGAACTTGGGACCTTGTGCTTGTGAGGCTTTTTGAGGCAGGATCTTGATAAGCCCAGACTGGCCTCAAACTTGCAGTGATCCTCTTACCTCAGCCTTCTGAGTGCTGGAATTACAGGTGTGCACCACCATGCCCAGTCCCCTCTCCTTTTTCTTTTGAGCTCTTGTAATATAGGATTGGGTCTCCCCAGCTACTATGTCAAGAGAGAACACTGGGTCATGTGCCCCTGCCATCACCAACTTCTAAAGCTTCCAAAAGGTGGAAGTGACTTTCTGGATCCAGGGTCTTGCTGAGGCCCCAAACATACTATATTGTTCTCTTTCTCTGTCCCAACCCATTGTACACATACACCTGCACATGGACAATGAGGTTCTGTGTCACTGAAGATAGGCATGCTTCTGGGTTGGTACAGGTGCAGCCATAGCAAGGAGAAGCCATTGTAGTTGTTGGTGGGACAGATTATCTCCATAGAGATGACTCACTTGATTTAACCTCACCTGTCAAAATCACTTGTAAACCATCCCCACCACCACCACCACCACCACCACCCTGCCTCATGCTGGAGTCTGAACCTAGGGGCTGAGGCATGCTAGGCAAGTACTGTAGTTGCATCCTCAGCCCTCACTTCACTACTGCTAGCTGAATATGGTGGTGCACAAAAATCCCAGCACTGGAGAGGCTGAGACAGGAAGGTTGCTGTAAGTTTGAAGACAGGCTGGGCTACACAGTGACTTCAAGTCCAGCCTGAACTACATAGTGAGACCCTGTCTAAACTCCTTTTTCCCCCTCTCCTCAAAAAAATACTTTTCTTTTCTACCCTCCACCCCCGCATGCTGGAGTCTGAACCTAGGGGCTGAGGCATGCTAGGCAAGTACTGTAGTTGCATCCTCAGCCCTCACTTCACTACTGCTAGCTGAATATGGTGGTGCACAAAAATCCCAGCACTGGAGAGGCTGAGACAGGAAGGTTGCTGTAAGTTTGAAGACAGGCTGGGCTACACAGTGACTTCAAGTCCAGCCTGAACTACATAGTGAGACCCTGTCTAAACTCCTTTTTCCCCCTCTCCTCAAAAAAATACTTTTCTTTTCTTTTTTTTTTTAAATACTTTTCTATTGCTGATTCCCAGAATGTTTTGCTCTGAGTTAGGAAATAGCCTAACTTAAACTCTCTACATAACCTTTTCTTTTGGTTGTTTTGTTTTATTTGTTTTGTTTTTGAGACAGGATCTATGTATTTCAGACTGGCTTTGAACTATGTAGCCCAGGCTGGTCTCGACCATGCAGAAATCTTCCTGCCTCGACCTCCTGAGTAATGAGATTATAGGTGTATGCCATCATACCCGCTGGGAATGGCTTTTTGTAAAGCAGTTTCTTCTCACTGGGAGCTTGATAGTAGTGCCAGAGACATTTCCCTGGAAAGGAATTTTTGATGCATTCATCTGTCTTGTTTCTTTGACACAACCCTGGGACCCTGGCACTCTGTGATCAGTTGCACCTGTGTACAAGCAGAGACAGTGAGTGATCCTCAAATTCTTCAGTGAGTTGTGTATGAGAAGAGGGTGCAGCCCTCACCCAGGGCCGACTTACACAATCCTCTTAGTCCCAGGCTCACCCATGCCTGGAACTGCCTGTGCCCTCCCCAAGCTGTGGCCATGCCTAGGCAGTCATGACTGCACAATATATAAGTGTTCTCATGGCTGCCTAAGCTGGGGATGGTAGAAGGCCCTGTATTTTGTGTCCAGAGCTAGGCAGTCTCTATCCTAAAATCTCCTCTTTAGTGCTGTAGGCTTTATTCCCTTGGTTCTGAGTATCTTGTTGAACAGGCGGTGACCACTGGCTCTCCATCAGTCTGGGTCAGCTTTGCCTCAGCCTAGGTCAGCTCTCCAGTTCTGGCCAGCTGGCAAGTTTGTGGTGGAGAAGACATGTTCTACAGTGCTGAGCCTGTTCACTGGGTGAAAAGTGATGTTATCACTCCTGCTCAACCTTCCCTTGGCAGCTCTGGAGAGGGTGTGTTGTCATGGAGAAAGGGCGTGGCCTCAAGTGTTACAGGACTGCTTCTGGTCAACCCAGGTGCCTTCTGGCCCAAACAAGCTGAATCATGACCCTGCTGCCAGCCAGGGCTTACCCACTTATTCTCTTTGTCCTGAGCATGCCATGGCACCTTCCCAGACACTGATGACACAGGCTCAGTTCTAGAGATTCTAGAGCAGTGTAGGGGCAGTGGAATGGGATTCTGGAGGGCTATGCAAGCAGCCTTCACCTGTTTCTGCTCTTCTGCCCTAGTCTAGCCAGGCAGGTAGCCATGGCAACCCTAGACCAGTTGTGGTGAACCTATGGCTGTTTGTATCATTGAAAGCTCTACAAGGTTCGCCGTCACTGCCCTACACAATCTTGCCTTTCTGGGCCTCACTTCCCAGGCTGTGGGAATTGCTACACCTCTCACTTGTTGAGATACAAAAAATGACAAGTAACATACATGAACATGGGATCTATGCCCTGCCCGTGTAGGGGAAGTTAGAAGGAGGCTAGTTAAGGTGTAGGAAGCCAAGGTTCCTACCCAGGTTCTAAAAAAATATAAGAATCTTACCCTTATCCTGAGGCTGGACTTGCCATGCCAGAACTTGGTGTATTCCCCTATTTGCCCCACAAGATGCTTAGCACTAGCTTCTCCATGGTAGCCTATGGAGGCTGAAGCAGAAAGGAGTCCTTCCCCTTCTGTGTCTCAGGCAGGTTGTCCAGGAAAGTGTGCTTTGGATTGTGGGCCTTGATTGTAACCCTTAATCTTTGTACTGCTAGCTAGGGGAATAGATGGCCAAGTGCAGGTGGCCCTTCTTAAGGGGATCACATTACTTTGGCGACTAGCATACCTCTAGTGCCCCCTTGGAGTGTGTGTCCTGCTACTGGAGCCTACCAGCAGACAGGCTCATGCCAGTTCTTCTCCTAGGCAGTGCAGTATGACAACCACTACACCAACACCAAGTACTGTTTGTGTCAGATGCTACGCGAACAGTTGGAGTCGCCCCAGGGAAGGTTGCTCCATGCCGCCCAGTCTTCCCAGGAAATTTGGTAAGAAAGGCAATGGACTATCCATCTGTCCTTGCAGACACTGCAGACAAGGCTTGATTTTGAGCCGTAATCTGACTTTCTGAGGGCCCAAGAACATAGCTTTTAGATGTGGATGTGGAGGAGTGGGATACTGGTACAGCTTTGCTTCATAGAACGGGATATCCTCAAAGCTCTGTAATGTTCCATAGTTACACTGATTTCAGCAGCAGAAATTGGAACTAGGTCACCAGTAGGGTGGAAGAATGCAAAAACGATAGTCTTGGCAGCTCCTAAGGAGGAAAGGGCTTTCCATTAATGGCATTGCCACATACCAAGGCCCCTCCCAATGGTCTGGAGAGGGAGGCCTGTAGAATGGAGTCCCTGGCCTAGGCCAGCACCCATTTTACTTCAGTCTGAGAGGCCAACCATTGGTCCTCTAGATGTGGTGCAGCTTCAACTCAGGTGGTTGATGCTTGGAGATCCTTCATAGCTTAACCTAGTTCCAGTTCCCACAGCTCCCTGTCTGCTTCTGTACCTCCATACCTGTGCTCCCACTGGGGCCTCTGCTTGGAAGGTCTATGTCCTCATATCGACTGTATCCTTTCTCCTCCAAAAAGCCTTTTTGAACCACTCTCGTCCTTAGGTTTCCATCTGCTCGGATGTCCTCCAGCCTCTAAGATCCCTCTTAGAAGAGAAAAGCCCTGCCAGAATCTTCCTTCCACTCTGGCTATGACATTGTTTCTGTCCCTGTCCCACTTAGCTTAAGCAGTTGGATCTCTAGAACAGAATGCAAGTCTACAGCTCTGGGTGGTACCTCAGTTCAGGATTGATCCTTGGTAACTGCTTGTGACCAGGTACAAAGTGGGGAACCACTCAGTGGTCAGGCCTCTTGTCTTCCTCCTGTGAGCTCACATGAAGATAAAGCTAAGGCACACACCATAGGTACTTGATCAGTTTAGTCACAGCTGGCCAGGAACACCTACCTGTTTGGCCCTATTTGGGAGAGAGGCTGCAGGTAGTGGGGGTGACCTATAGAACCTTTTCTTTCCAAACCAGCCTTCCTCACGTGTCCATGCTCTGAAGTTCATATTCTCCAGCTTCTAATCCAGGTTGACCTCAGACTTAGGGTGTGTAGGTGGTACCTTCCACTGCCCAGACCTCCAGTGGAGTTTTCATATATGTGATACAGGAGTTCCTGCCGTGCTGCTCTATTAAGGTATCTGTCTGGCTCTTCTTCTTTCTCCATAGTGAGGCCTTTGGCCTTGATACCTTCTACAAGGAGATCACACAGGAGTTAGATGCCCGGAGGGCTGAACTCTTGACCAAGACTCCAGAAGACGTTGAGGAGCCAGCTGAAGACACCTCTGGTGTTATTAAGATGGCTGTCAAGTTTGATCGGTAGGTTTCCAGCTTGGCCTAACCATGGGCCAGGATCAGTGCCAGAATTCAACCAAGCCAATAAGTTGGCTGGACTACAAGTGTCCTTGGTTTGGACCCTTGTTACTAATTTTCAGTATCCCCAAGAATGTACTTTTAGGGAAGATAGTAAGCGCAGGCAGCACTGTTGAGGGGTGTGCAAGTTGTCCCAAGGATGACTAGGCTCTTTTTTTCTGACTCCTTCCCTCAGGGTGGAACACTTCCCACTTTTTCCTTAAAGTCTGTGCTTTCCTCCTGGCCTTGTGACATTGAGCTCCTGACAGCTGTAGTAGCTCACCCTCATTGGCTGTGTACCTCTGCTTGTACCCACTGTCCCACACCATCCCTGTTGTATCCTCTTTAGGCAGAAGTAGCCTCAGACTGATTCTTCTCCCAGACCGTAACTCAGCTTTGAATGGTGACCTCATCTTTGTCCTCTGCCATCTGGAACTGAGCCTTTCTCCAGTCCACAGACCCAGACCTGGAGCCAGTCCTGTCTGGCAAGGACTTGGAGATGGGGGTAGGAGGACAGCTATTGGGCAGTCATATGCCAGAGGGAGTTCCCACTGGGAAGCTAGGACATGTCCTTCCTACCCTGTCTGCCTGGTATAGACTAAGAAGCCAGAATCTGTTGTGCCCATGGTTGTAGTGGATCATCTTGACACTTGGCAATGGAATCAGAGTGTGCATCAAGCTAGACCTTGATATTGTATGGCCATCTATGTTCTTTACCTCTCCCATTCCCTCTGATATTATCATGAGAGGCAAACTGGACTTTCTTTCCCAGCTATTGAAGATAGTTTTACAGGCTGGAGCTCAGAGCTCAGAGCTTGATCTCCCCACCCGGTATAATACCAAACATGCTGAAATGCATCCTCCCTTTAAGTAAAACCTAGGCTTTAACTGCTGGTAAGACAGGAAGGATTTTCCAGGGAAATAGGCACAGGAACATTAAGGCAGCAGCATGGTGTCTCAGCTCCTGTAGCTCCTAGCAGAAACTGATTGGATCCTTTGCTAAAGGAGGTAGTAGAGATGATGAGTGGTCCTTAACTGCTTTCCCTTCTTTCCCCAGGAGAGCATACCCACCCCAAATAACCCCCAAAATGTGCTTGCTGGAATGGTGCCGCAGAGAGAAGTTAGCACAGCCTGTGTATGAAACGGTGAGTTCTGGCTGTGACCTAACCTGCAGCTGGCCACAATGCTGGTGCCACACCCTTGGTATCTGCTTAGCAGTCCCTGGCTACTTGGCTAGCAACTGGCTTTGCCCTCATTGGCATGGAGAACTTTCTGGGACTAGGATAGCCCCTTCCCTATGACCTTGGCCTGTTGTCTACTTCTGGCATACGTATCTTTGGATCCAGCCTAAGCCAATGGGGTACATAATTGGACTCCAACCATGGGGCCCCTGGGTTGGAAACTTTGAGATAGTCTTCCCTCATCTCCTTTGGTCCTTGAAGCCTCTGCCTCTTCCCAACTGGCTTTCTGGTCTCCAGACTTGTATTTTCTGGGCCTTATGTCACTATTTGCCTCAGTAATTTTTGGGGTTTTTTTTTTAGACAAAGTCTCACTATGTAGTCCAGGCTGGCCTTGAACTCACTGTGTAGCGTGGGTTGGCCTCAAACTCATGATCTTCCCACCTTGGCCTCAAAAGTGTTGGGATTACAGGTGTGCCACCACACCTTACACCAGAGTGATTTCTCCAAAACAAATTGAGCCTCTGTCTCCCTTATTCAAGCAACCAGCTCCCCTGTGCCTGTAGAATCAAGCCCTAACCCCAAGCATAGTGCACAACTCCCCCGACATACCTCACTGCTTTAGGTCTCATCTACTCAGTCCTCTGCTCCAGCCACATCACCTGGTCCCTCTGTCAGGTGTGTGCCTTCTCTATTCCCATCCTTGTCTTCTCTCACCCCTTTGCTATCTGGTAAACTCCTCATTTGGGGGACATCCAGATGTCAGTAGGAGGAGGCCCCGTAATATGTAGCAAAAATCTGTGACCGCCCTTTGCTTAGGTCCATGAGAGAACTGTGGACACATAGTATCATTGTCAGTTTGTGTGTCTGCCTTTTTTCCATGCACCAGGCACTTTTGCATGGGAGGAACATGTGATCAAACAGCCTTCATTTGACTTGGGTTGGGAATACTTTCCTTTATCTCCTTTTGATGAGATGCAGCAGGTTGGCCAGCCCTGTTTCCTTCTCTCCCTCCCTCCCTTTTTCTCTCTGTACCAGGTTCAGCGACCAGTGGATCGCCTATTCTGCTCTGTTGTCACCGTTGCAGAGCAAAAGTACCAGTCTACCTTATGGTGAGTTTCTTCATCAGAGGACATGTGGCTTGGAATGGGAGACCTAAATCCAGCATTGGCCTGAGAGGGTTAAACAGGCAATTAAAGCAGTACATGGATATTAGTGTCCCCACATGATGCCCTTGCTTAGTTTTGTCTCTGCTAAGGGTATGCAGTCAGGCCTCCTAGCCTCTAGTCCTGCAACTTGCACACCTACCTATTGCTCTGTGTTTTGTCTGCCCAGGGACAAGTCTAAGAAACTGGCAGAGCAGACTGCAGCCATCGTCTGTCTGCGGAGCCAGGGCCTTCTTGAGGGTCAGCTGGTTGAGGAGAGCCCCTCTTTGCACAAGCGCAAGCGGGAGGCCCCTGACCAGGATCCAGCACTGCCTGGAGAGCTACGCAAGAAACCCTTTGCGGCCTTGGAAAATGGAGAAGAGAGCCCCCTGGAAGGCTGGTGACTACGACTGTCCCTGCTCTGTTGACTCACTTCATTGGTCTAGCACTAAGATGGTCTTGGGTGCCAGAGGATGAACCAGATGCCACTGGACAATTTGCTGGCCTTTCCTGGCAGGAGTTAAAGGTCCAGGCCCAGGACATTAGCCTGAAGCACAGGCCAAGGAATATCTCAGGGTGGATCCTTTCATTCCTGGTGGGTCTGAGTTATAGGACCAAGTTTCCAGCAACCTGAATGTATTTTTGAAAACAGGAAGCTTTTCAGGTAACACATCCTCAACTTGACATTGGTACAGTGCAATAAAGATATCTCCTAACCTCACCCATGGCTGGCTGCTTCAGCCTTGGGCATCTTCAAACATAGACTTGTGGTCTGCCATAAGGAGCTCCCCAAAGCATGTCCCACCAGGCGTAGTGGCACATGCATGTAATCCCAGCACTCGGTAAGCTGAGGCAGGAGAATTGCTCCAAGTTTGAGGCCAGCCTGGCTGCACAGTGAGTTCAAGGCCAGCATGAACAACATAACAAGACCCTGTCTCCAAAAAACAAAAAAAAGAAAAAAAGAAAAGGAAAGGAAAGAGAAAAAAACCCAAAGCATGTCCCCTGCCCATTCTTTGGGTCTGATACAGCTTGGGAATGGGCTATCACCTTTCATGCCCATTCTACTTGGGCTGAGCCAGGGATGTCCTAAACCCATTTTATTGATGGGAAATTTGAGATGCTGCATATCAGTTGACTTTTTTGATGGAAATCTATAATATCTAGGAGGACTAGGGCACCTGGTGCCCACTAAGGGACCATCCCAGTGAGTTCAGGGAGTACCTGAATATTTGCCTTGAGAACAGGAAACTGTCTGACCCCTGAGTCTCCTTTCAGCCTGACTGCTGGCTGGACTCAGACTTGATACGGTACCTGTCCTGGTCAGGGGGCACTGAGAGCTGCTGATGACAGGAATTTGGCTGTTGCAATTCACAGCATATATATACCCCTCCCCCAGTCCCACTTGGGGCAGAAGGAAGTGGCAGATTCTCTTTAATTTCCTCCTGGCAGTGAGAAACAAACAAATGGCTACTACCACATCTCTTGGGGCCTCCCACCCCCTTACTGGGAGGGGCATTCTGACCAAAGGTCCCAGCCCCACCCCCTGCTTCCTCTACTGTAAACATGCTGCCCTGTCCTTACCTTTGCCAAGCTGTTTGGGGGAAGGCTTCACCTCTGGGCCAAGGTCCTCTTCCCTACATCTCCCTGGGGTGAGCCTCACAGCTCTGCGGCAACCCAGCCCCAGGGGGTCAGGCCTCTGTGTCAAGTCAGCAGCCCCTGGCCTTGGTCTCCCAGTCAAGGGTAAGGCTTTGTTTTAGTCCTGGAGCTGCCCTTCCCGCCCACCCAACATGCTCTTCTAGGTGCATGCAGATAAGGCTACTATACCCCCAGCTGCCTTCCACAGCACACTACAGTTTGACCTTGAGCAACTCACATCTAGCCTTCTCTGCCCCAGGGGCCCTTCTCTGACAGAAGGATCAGCTGTCCTCTGCTTCTGTGAAGCTGGCTGGAAGATAACAGGGTGGCCCTGTGATGAGGTGGTTAAGAGAGTCACTGCATGCCAAGACTGCCCTCACTTCCTAGACTGGTGCTCCCAGAAAAGCTTCCCTCCCCAATGTGGAATATAGTCCTGGTCCAGTCTCAGCTACCAAGCTTTAGGCACAATTTCTTTCTTTCTTTTTTTTTTTTTTTACTAAAAATTAAAATGATCTTACCTTTCCTCATGGCAGACTAGATGTGGGCAGGCAGAAAGACCACAGCACCCCCTTCCCTCACCCAAGGCATGCCTGGGAGGACTCTGGGGACTTGGCATGATGCTGTGGCGACTGAGATCCATCTCCCTGGTGGGACTAGGTGTTGATCTCAGGCCTCTTCTTCCATCAGTGTGGTTTTCCTGAGGAAGCTCTTCCCCCTAGCAGGGTCAGGTTCATTTCTGGGTTATAGAAAAGGAGAGGCAAAGATAGAAGTCTGAACATTAAGGTAGCAACTGGAGATGTTGTGGCAGCATGCTTCCCTAATATGCATGAGGCCCTAGTTTGATCCTTAGAAACACACACACACACACACACACACACACACACACACACACACAATGGATGAGTGTAGGGGCTCTGAGGGAACTGGGCAGAGGTTCATTCACAGGACAAGTGAGTAGAGAGGGGCTCCCCCTGACTGAGGTCAAGGACCCTGAGTACATATGTAGGTCCTCATGTTGATCTCATTTAATCACACCTTATTGAAACTGTGGTCTCAAAGTGATCTGTGCAAAGCCTAAGACTGACTGAGAGGCCCACTCCTGAAAGCTCTACCCATCATTCTCACTGTGTCTGCCCTAACCTAGGCTACTTAGGCTCCCAAACCCCTCACTGGCTAATAGCCACAATACTTTTCCATCGGTTCCAGCCACCCTGATTGAGGCCCTCCCCATAGTTTATCACATCTTGGAGATAAATGGTTTGATATGAGCATGAGAGGGAAGGGTTGGTAAGGCTAGAGGGTGGCAGGACTTCCAAAGCCACAAGAAGAAGACTGAATTTGTGCAGAAATGAAGGTAAATCTCTTGACCTCCCATGTGTTGCTCCTGCTCAGATCTCTTCCCTGGCTCTCTAAGACTGCCCTCTGGACCAAATCCAAACTCCTTAGCATCATGTTAGAGGACAAAGTGCTGACCTGTCTTTTGAGCAACTTGTGCTGACTTCAACTAACTTTCTGAGGTAGTTTGCTGGTCTTATCCTCTTGGACCAGATTGGTACCTGCTCAAGGGCAGTCCTTGTGTCCTTTATGGCCAGTGTTGGCATGGGGTGGAGCGTAGGCTCAAAAGACTAATATAAAAACTTGGAAAGGGAGACACAGGCATGGAGGAGAACTTTTCTATCTTTTTCTTTCTTTTTTTGGTACCAGGGATGGAACTTAGGACCTTGTGCTTGCAAGGCAGGCCTCTTCTACAAATGGCTACTACCTGAGAACTTTTCTAAACTAGCTTTTCTCCAAGGATCCTCCTGTATTCCTTAGTATGAAAGAAGAGTCTGGGATCAGCTAAGCTGTACCACCCCAAAGCTCTGAGGATACAGGAGAGCCTTCAGTAGTGGAGCCAGAGGGGCAGGTTGTGGCAGCTGATAAGGTATAGCTCTCCTTCATTCTCAGGCATGGCTAGTATTCATACTCAAGGGAGACTGGGAATACAGATACCTCCAGTCCTTGTCCTCCCTGCAGTTCTATCAACTGCACTGGTTTCTGTTTCACAACTCAGAGGACTGGAGGTTGGTCAGGTGACCTCCAGCAGTTTTGGAATGAGGCTAAGGCGCATGTACACCTGCCGTTTCTTAGAAAGTAGTGACTTGACTTTTCATTCAGCACCCACTTTTGTCTCAGCCCTCATCACTTCATGTTAGATTATCAGCTTGCCCCACAGCAGAAACCCACCCCGTGACATGACTCCCTCTAAGTACTCTCTAGATGCTTGGTGCCTGCGAACACAGAGGTTTTCTCTTCAGTCACTTCCCAGTAGGGTGGGGTTGGCAGTGTTGACATGCCAAGATCTACTTCTTGCCTCCCCTCTGGCCTGACTGGCTGAGTCTGTGCTTCAGGAGGAGTCATATCTAGAAGGAAGATGGCCTGGATAAAGGTCTGTTTTCTCAGATGACAATTAGCAGGTATGTATGTGGGAGTGGGGAAAGAGATATAGCCTGAAGTTGCTTTAAGTTTTATGGTGATTGGGAGGTAAACTGGCCAAGGTTTTGAGACCCTACACTATACCAGGATTGCATTATATATGGTACTACACTTGGGCCCAGCAACCTGTCTGAGGGCTCCCTCACAGTCACCTACAGCACTCTGCCCACTTATTCAGCCTCATCTTTGCTTCTGCTCACTGCAGGTACTTTTTTTTTTTTTTAGATAGGGTCTCTACATAGTTCAGTTTGGCCTTCAACTCACTGTGTAGCCCAGGCTTGCCCCTAACTCCTGATGATCTTCCTACCTCAGCCTCCTGAGGGCTGGGATTACAGGTATGTGCTACCACACCTGGCTACTGCAGGTACTTTCTGGTCTCCATGTCTTTGGAAATGTATTTGCCTGGAACAAACCTTCCTCATCTCTTGCCTATCTTCAATTCCTACTCTTGTGAAGGCCCTTCAGTCAGGGGAGTTTTGAAACTTCAGAGCTCCTGGCAGAGCTCTAATCTCTTTGCATAGTGATTATAGATTTGTTGTTTCCCTCTCCGGTATACCCTGAAAGGATACTAATTTATCTTTGTACCCCCTGGTTCAGTACAGGCACAAAGCACTGGGCAGGAATGAACCTCTCTGAGATGAAAATCTCACACGCTCAAGACATTGCTTGCTTTCCTGACAAAAGGCCTAATTGGGTTCCCTTGTTGAGTTTCCTGGTAGCTGAGAAATGTCTGAGACCGCTGCAAGGAACTCTCCTAGTCCATCCCCTTCTCCCAGGGGCTTTTGTGGGTGGTGTAGTACTTGCTGTGAGCCTTGCGGAGTGACATTATTTTTCTGGTAACGGGGATTGAACTCGGGACCTTGCGCTTTTGAGGCAGGAGGGAGAACTACTTAGCTAAATCGCTGGCCCATGGAGTGAAATTTCTAAGGCCTCTCACTTGTACCCAAGCCTGTGTGATAACTGCATTCCTCCACCAATGCTCACTTAAGTATGTACTGTGCTTCGGGTTCTGTGACCGAGGCATGGAGCTGGAGAAGGCAGTAGGCTCCCTATCTACACAATCGCCTCTGGAGCCCTGAGTAAACAAGCCATGCTCAGTGCCCCAGACCCCAAGAGGCGGTGTCTTGGGCTGTCCTCAGGGGAAGGTAGGCACCCTGGAGAGGGAACAAGAGTGAAAATGGGCCTTCAGGCAACATCACTTTCCACTGGCAGCTACTGCTTTGGGTGACTTGATCCCTCCTGCTTGATCACTCCTGCTTTCTTGTATCGGAAGAGAGGACACAGCTTTGAGTGACGCAAACTCAACACGTGGCTTTCCTGCCATGGTGGTGGCACGTGCCCGTAACCCCAGCATTCTGGAGGCTGAGGCATGAGGATCGCCACTAGTTTGAGCATGAATTACATAGCACTGTCTCAAAACAAACAAAACCACAAACCAACCAAAAAACTAAGGGGCTTTCCTGCTTAGCTTGCTCAACTTGCAGCTGGGGACAGATCCAGCGACTAGGTCTCCGCGGAGGAGGTCTAGAATGGGAATACTTTCCTCGAGGAGAACAGCAGCCTGAGCGGGCTAGTGAGGACAAAGGCGTAGGCAAGGAGGGTGTGCAGCGACCACGAGTTCCGACTCGGGACGAGGAGGGCAATCCAGGCTTTGTTCGGCTTTGTTCGCTCTAC